TTTTTAACTATTTGTCAAAGAATCAGAGTCCAAATCGATTAAATATTTGATTTTTGGCACTTTATTAATTTTTTAACATTTAGGCATATTTTTTATGGCAAGGCAACGTTTGCCGGGTTAGCTAGTATATATATATATAAATTTTAGTACAGTTATTAGCCGATGATAGATTTCATTGGTTACATTTTTTTATATTTAGCACTATTCTGTTAAAATTCCTTCTCATCCTTATATATTATTATAGATCGTTGAAAAATAGATAAAATTATTATATATATATATATATATATATATATATATATAATTATTATTATTATTATAATTTTTTCTAGGGCTGCTGCAATGACCCTCCGTACTGTGTTATTATCGTTACAAGCCCTTTTATCGGCAGCAGAGCCAGATGATCCTCAGGATGCAGTCGTAGCCAAACAATACAAAGAAAATAATGAAATGTTTACGCTGACGGCTAAACATTGGACAAACATTTATGCAGGAGGTAAATGATTATTATATATATATATATGATAAAAATTGTTTCTTGGGCATCCATCCAATAATTAAAAAACAGTTTTAATGCAAAATGTTTTAATTAAGAGAACATACGTTTCGGTTATAGATTTGATCCATCTTCAGCGCATACAAATAAATTTTTAAAAAAATAACACAAAGAACAACACAAAATTGCAACAAAAAAATAAGTATGAAATAAAAAATTGAAAAAACATCAAGTTATGAAAATTTTTGAAAATTGTAAAAATTAAAATAAATAATGTTTTATTATAAAAAAGCTTATTCCAAAAGCACATCTTGTTAGTTTGGAGACAAAGTTACGTGTCTATATATATATATATATATATATATCTATATATATATATATATATATATAATATATATATATATATATAAATTTAAATTTCAAATTTCAGACAATGTGAGACATTTTTAGACTATATTAAACAGAATTTTAGATTCAGCCAGTAACAATTTTGGACAATTTTGAAATAATTCCAGACAATTTTTGACAATTTTGAATAAATTCAATATAAGACGATTTTAGAGAATTTGCAACAAATTTGATAATTTAAAAACAATATTAAATAATTATCAAAAATTTCGGACAATTTTGGTCAATTTTAGTCATTTTCATCAATTTAAAACAAATCTTAACAATATCAACAATTTTGGATAATTTATAACAATTTTCGATAATTTGAGCTATATAAAATAATTATGAACTATTAAAACAATATTTTGGATAATTTTAAACCATATTAAACAATTTAGATGATTTTAAACAATTTTGGATAACTCTAGACAATTTTGTACATTCTAAAACAAGTTAAAACTATTTTCAATAATATTAAACGATTTTGGACAATTTAAAATTATTTTGATTAATTTTTGAAAAAATTAGACAAATTCAAAACAATTTTAAATAGTTTTGACAAGTTTTACCAATTTGGCACAATTTTGATCAATTTTAGGCATTTTGGATCAAATTTTAGTCAATTTAAAATAATTTTGGATAATTTAAATGGTTTCAACAATTTTGGACAATTTCAGACAGTTTTAAGCAATATTTAACAAGTTTCGTCAATTTGGACAATTCTAGACAATTTTGCACTATTTTGAACAATTTCAGTCAATTTTAGACAATTCGGTCAATATAAATCAATTTTGGACAATTTTGAATATTACACATGATTTTGGTTAATTTTGGTCAATTTTAAATATTTAAAAATTATATGTATTTCTATATTTTAAAATAATCTAAATCAATTTGAAGAATATAAAACCAAATTTAACAATTTTGAAACAATTGAAATCAATTTGGATGATATAAAAATAATTTGGACAATTTTAGACAATTTAAATCATAAATCAAAATATTTTTTTTAAATAATTCAAACCAATATTTAACACTTTTGGTTGGTTAAGGTAAATTTTAGAAAATTTAATTTAATTTCAGACAATTTTAAACAAAATTTTTTAACAATTTTAAGTAATTTTGGACAATTTGAATTAATTTTTGGGCATTTTCGGACAATCAAACTATTTTATACCATATGAGTCAAATCTTTGGTTAGTTTTAGACAATTTTAGACAATGTAAATCAAATTTTATCAATTTCAAACAATTTGGAAATTATAAAATGGTTTGGACAATTTAAAATAATTTTTAAGTATTTTAAACCATTTGGACAAATTAAACAATATTAAACCATGTGGTCATATTGACAATTTTGGTTAATTTTGGACAATTTAAAATAAAATTTCCCAAATTTCAGACAAATTTGTAAAATTTAAAACAAGTTTTACAAATATTAAACAATTTTGGATAATATCAAACTTTTTTGAAAATTTTAAAATGCTTTGGACGATTCAAAACAATTTTTGACAATTTTAAATAATGTTGGACATTTTAAAACGTCTTTAAGTATTTTAAACAATTTTGGACCATTTTAAACAATATTAAAACAATTTTGGATAATACAATAAATACAATAATTTTTTTTGCAATAGTCTTTTTTTATATTTTTCTGAATTTTATTATTAGTCGAGTCCTTTTTCTCTTTTTAAATGTGCTGTCAGTAGAGTCGCTTTTTCTTTTTATTTTCATTTTACTCCTTTTTTATTTTTTTTAAATTTGCTCGTCAGTAGAGTCCTTTTGCTCCTAATTTTTATAAATTTGCTCGTTAAGTCTTTTTTTCTGAATTTGCTTGTCAGTAGAGTCCTTTTGTTCCTAATTTTTATGAATTTGCTCGCCAATAGAGTCCTTTTATATTTTTTCTGAATTTGCTCATCAGTAGAGTCCTTTCTATTTTTTCTGAATTTGTGTGTCAGTAGAGTCCTTTCTATTTTTTCTGAATTTGCTCGTCAGTAGAGTCCTTTTTTCTATTTTTCTCGACAGTAACCATTTTCTTTATATTATCTTAATTTGCTTGTCAGTAGAGTCCTTTTGTTTGTAATTTTTATGCATTCGCTCCTCAGTATAGTCCTTTTTCTATTTTTTTTTCAATTTTGCTCGTTAGCAGAGTCCTTTTTTCTATTTATTCTAAATTTGCTCGTCAGTAGAGTCCCTTTTCTTTTTGTCTTTGAATTTCCTCCACAGTAACATTTTTTTATATTTTCTTAATTTGCTCGTCAGTAGAGTCTCTTTGCTTATTTTTTCTGAACTTGCTCGTCAGTAGATTCCTTTTGTTTATAATTTTTCTTGAATTTGCTTTGTCAGTAGAGTCCTTTTGCTCATAATTTTTTTGAATTTGCTCGTTAGTAGAGTCCCTTTTCTTATTTTTTCTGTATTTGATCGTCAGTAGAGTCCCTTTTCTTATTTTTTTCTGAATTTGCTCTTCTGTAGATTCCTGTTGAACCGAGTGCCTAAAACATTTTGGAAAATTTCTAAAAATACACATTTATCAATTTTGGACAATTTCGCACAGTTTTTAAACAATTTTTGGTGATTTAAAACAATATTAAACTGTTTTGGACCAATTCATACAATTTTAAATAAGACATTTTTTGTAATTTCAAACAATTTTAGATTCAAACACTTCCACAAAATTTGTATTCAACAATCCAAAACAAATTCAATCGATCGACCAACATTTCTATTCGCAGAACCATTCCACACAAACTTGTCATTCGACAGTCCCTTTAAAAGTTTCACTTCAAAACTATAACTTTATATTCTTTTTTTCCAGGTCCTCATGTGTTCTCCGACTGCAACACCAAAATCCAACGTCTCATCGACATGGGCATCGAGGAGCACCAGGCCCGAGTGGCACTATCCTCTTACAACTGGGAACTGGAGAGGGCGACGGAGCAGCTGTTTAGTTAGTTAGTCGATAACAAAATTCATTTAAATAATTAATTAATTAAAAAAATTCAGAATTTAAACTACAAACAAATTATTATTATTAATTTATTATCCGATTCACGATTCGATTTTCTTTCAACGTTCAACAAAAACATGCACATGAAAAAGATAGAGATAAACAAATAGAATGGTTTTCAATTTAGTAAAGGACACTCGATAGTTGTGACCGGTAATAAATATTAGTTAGAGAGCCTCAGCTGTGCTCGGCCGATGGCAGATAATATTTTTGTAATAAAATTTTAATGTACATGTTTTTTACTGTTTGTTATGTTATTAAATTTTTTTTAAATAAATACATGTAATATATGATGTTGGTGGAATGGAATTGAATGAACTCGAGGTCGAGGGGAGGAGTTGCGGTTGTAAAATATTATAGGCCTGTGGGAAAGTGTTTCTAAAAATTATGTTGAGGTTGTTTTCGAAGGAGATGTTATTTTGAATTGGTGAAATGATTAAACTGTTGATGGGAGGAAACGGAGTTGTAAAATATTATAGGCTTGTGGGAAAGTGATTTTAGTGTTTCTAAATGTGATCTTAGTTTTTCTAATATAAATTTTTTGGACTTGTATAAATTAATATTCTAATATTCTAAATTTTTTTTCTAATTTAGTTAGTGAAGTTCTGTTTTCTAAAATTATTGAAGATTTTTTTTTAATATCTATTTTTTAGTTGAAAGAAACCTCCTTTTTTATTTATTTTTACTTGCTCGTCAGTAGAGTCCCCTTTCCTCATATGTCTGTATTAGCAGAGTTTTCTGGTCAGCAGAGATCATTTTATCTTTTGTTTTCAGTTTGCTCGTCAGTAGAATCCTTTTGCTTTTATTTTTTTCAGCCAGTTCAGACCTTTTCTTGAGTTTGCTCGTCAGTAGAGTTTTTTTTTCTATTTTTTTTAATTTGTTCGTCAGTAGTCTTTTTGCTTCAAATTTTTTGAGTTTGCGTGTCAGTCTTTTTTTGAGTTTACTCATCAGTAGAGTCCCTTTTCTTATTTTTTCTGAATTTACTCTTCAGTAGGGTCCTTTTTTCTAACTTTTATGAATTTACTCGTCAGTAGAGTCCTTCTCCCAAATTTTTGTGAATTTGCTGTTCAGTAGAGTCCCTTTTACTATTTATTTTCAATTTGCTCGTCAGTAAAGTCCCCTTTTCTAATTTTTATGAATTTGCTCGTCAGTAGAGTCCTTTTACCCACTTTTTTTAAAAATTTCTTGTCAGTAGAGATTCTTTTACTAATTTTTTTGAGTCCCTTTTCTTTTTGTTTTCAGTTTGCTGTTTTTAGTAGGTTTTACATTTTTTCTGAACTTGCTCCTCAGTAAAGTCCTTTCTCCTATTTTTGCTTTGAATTTGCTTGTCAGTAGAGTCCTTTTCCTATTTTTTTTAAATTTGTTTGTCAGTAGAGCCCCTTTTCCTTTTATTTTCAGTTTGCTCATCAGTACAGTCCTTTTTTCCTATTTTTATGAATTTGATCGTCAGTAAAGGCTTCTTTATTTTTTTTTTGTCAAATTTGCTCTTCATGAGAATCTCTTGTCTTTTATGTACTCTTTGCTCGTCAGTAGAATCTTTTTTTTTTATTTTCAGTTGCTCGTCAGTAGAGTCCTTTTGTCTTTATGTTCAGTTTGCTCGTCAGTAGTCCTTTTATAAATTTTTTTTTTGAGTTTGCTCGTCAGTAGAGTCCCTTTTCTTCAATTATTTTGAATTTGCTCGTCAGTAGAGTCCTTTTGATCCTAATTTTTGTGAATTTGCTCGTCAGTAGAGTCCCTTTTTTTTAAATTAATATTCTATTTTTTTCTCTAAATTTACTTGTTAGTAAAGTTCTGTTTCCCAAAATTATTGAAGTTTTTTTTTAACATCTATTTTCTAGTTGGAAGAAGTCATTTTTTCATGTCAATAGATCCCCTTTTGTTTTTCTATTCAGTAGAGTCCTTTTTCTTCTTTTTCTGAATTTGTTCGTCAGTAGTCTTTTTTCTATTTCTTTGAGTTTGCTCGTCAATAGAGCCCCCCTTTTTTATTTTTAGTTTGCTTGTCAGTAGAGTCCTATTGCCCCTTTTTCTGAGTTTGCTTGTCAGTAGAGTCCTTTCGCTCCTATTTTTTTTTTCTGAATTTGTCAGTAGAGTCCTTTTGCTCCTCCTTTTCTCGAGTTTGCTCGTCAGTAGAGCCCTTTTAGTCTCTTATTTTAGTTTGCTCGTCAATAGAGTCTATTATTTTCAGTTTGCTCGTCAGTAGAGCCCCTTCTTGTCTCACATTGACCTAATTCCATTCATTATAAAAAACATTTCAGTTCAATATTCTTATTTTATTACCATCAGTTCGTATAAAAATATTGCCTTAGCTTAATTTGTACAGAATTAAATCGGGTAAAATTTATATTACAAACTAGTATTTACACAACTCTAAATAACAATAATAATAATAATAATAATTAATATTATTATTATCATTATTATTATTATTACTATTACTATTATTATTATTATCAAACGACCACTCTCGTCCTATACAAATACAAAGAGGTCTCGGTTAAAGCTAAAAGATACATATTCGAATCGACTTGTGCTGCACACAGATCGAGAACAGGATTCGATACTGGCAGCGTCTTGACCTTCCTCTCGGTTTTCATACTCCAGATGATGTAGCTCTTGTAGTGGTTGTCGTAGACTGCCACGTAGTGCTCGTTGTTGAAGATTATCTTGAAAAGATAATAGACATATAGATAAGATAAATAATAAAAAAAAATTATATTGAATTCATATTATAAAACTTACAATCTTCCAATAAATTTTCTTTAATACTAAAAAAAATAAAGCATCAAATATAAATCTCTTCATTTAATATGAAACCTCGAACAAAATAACATAAAAGTGTGAAAACCGCATCAAAATATCTCAACAAATGCAAAAGTTATGCCGTTTTAAATTCTCGAGTGACATCACTGCCGCCTGATGCCAAAAACAGTGGCGCTGCTGTCGCACTAAAATATAAACGTCAATAACTCGCGTATTTATTGACGGATTTTAAAAATTCTTTCACTGTTGCGTTAGTTATGAGTTACACTTCAATCCTACAGCAATTAATATAGTATCATATACCTATTTACACTCGTACATGAATATGAAGCTTAATATAACTAGTGGTGTATGACATCGTGCCTTAAGGCAAATTGCTGGAACTTCCCGTACCGTAATGAAATATTCGAGAAATTTTAAACGTTTTCAAATACATTATTACAAATACTCTGCAACTTTCATTATTTTTGCTATCCTGTTTGTTATATCTGAGCAAATCAAATGTGAATCATAAATCATAAGCCTTTTTTAATTTTCTGGACAAAATTAAAATTTGCTCGTCAGCAGAGTCCCTTTTGTGTTTTTTTTTTAAGATTAAAATTAAAATTTGCTTGTCAGTAGAGTCCTTTTTAAAGCAAAATTAAGTTTGTTCGTCAGTAGAGTCCTTTTTCCTGTTTTTTTTAAAGCAAAATTAAGTTTGTTCATCAGTAGAGTTTTTTTTTCCTTTTTTTTTTAAAGCAAAATTAAGTTTGTTTCGTCAGTAGAGTCCTTTTCTTGTTTTTTTTTTTTAAAGCAAAATTAAGTTTGCTCGTATAGTCCCCTTTTTAATTTTCAAGACAAAATTAAAATTTGCTCGTCAGCAGAGTCCCTCTTGTGTTTTTTTTTTAAGATTAAAATTAAAATTTGCTTGTCAGTAGAGTCCTTTTTAAAGAAAAATTAAGTTTGTTCGTCAGTAGAGTTCTTTTTCCTGTTTTTTTAAAGCACAATTAAGTTTGCTCATCAGTATGGTCCCCTTTTTATTTTCAGGACAGAATTAAAATTTGCTCGTCAGCAGAGTCCCTTTTTTGTTTTTTTTTTTAAGATTAAAATTAAAATTTGCTTGTCAGTAGAGTCCTTTTTAAAGGAAAATTAAGTTTGTTCGTCAGTAGAGTCCTTTTTCCTGTTTTTTTAAAGCAAAATTAAGTTTGCTCGTCAGTATGGTCCCCTTTTTAATTTTCAGGACAAAATTAAAATTTGCTCGTCCTTTTTAAAGGAAAATAAGTTTGTTCGTCAGTAGAGTCCTTTTCCTGTTTTTTTTTAGAGCAAAATTAAATTTTGTAAGTAGAGTCCCTTTGTTCCTCTTGTTAAATTGAAAACAAGTTAGCTCGTCAGTAGAGTCCCTTTTGTGTTTTTTTAAGATTAAAATTAAGTTTGCTCGTCAGTAGAATCTCTTTTGTGTATTTTTAGAATAGAATTAAGTTTGGTTGTCTGTAGAGTCCTTTTTTGCTTTTTATATTAAAATATAGTTGCTCATCAGTAGAGTGCTTTTTTTGTTTGACGCTACTGACGAGCTAATTAAATTGTAAACAAAAAGAAAGGGACTCTACTGACTATCAAACTTTATTTTCTTTCTAGGAGATTACATTACAGACTCTACTTTTTGCTCTAGAACATTTAAAAAGGAACTCTACTGACGAGCAAACTAAAACACACGATCTATTAGCTCCAGAAAAAGGACACTAATAGAACTTGATTACAAAAAAATAGTTGCCCAATTTACACAAAATTGAAAAAGTGCTCCCGTACAGTCACAGTCTAAACGCATTTGCAAACCATTCTGTGCGACATTTTCACTTATACTGTGCCAGCTTGGCGGCATTTTCACATTTTTTCATAGTTTTCTCACCAAATTGAAAGTGCTCCAGTAAACGCACTTGCGAAACATTTGTACCAGATTGGCGCTTAGACTGTGCTTAGTCTGGATGATTTTTTCATTTTTAATCCAAAATTACAAAAATATTTTATGGAAATTAAAAAAAGATGTAAAAGATCATGATGCTCTCTAGTAGAGTCCTATTGCTCCAAATTTTTTTGAGTTTGCTCGTCAGTAGAGTCCTTTTGCTCCATTTTTGCAGAAATGAAAATGAGAAACCAAAGGGACTCTACAGTCGAACAAACTCAAAAATGACAGGAAAGGAACTCTACTGACGCGTAAACACTAATTCCTGATTTTAAAAAGGGAAAGAAACTCTACTGAGAAGCAAACTCCGACAAGTTAAAAAAAAGAACTCTACTGACGATCAAAATCTGAAAAATAAGAAAAAGAACTCTACTGACAAACAACTTAAAAAAAATAGAAAAAAAAGAACTCTACTGACGAGCAAATTAAAAAAAAGTAACAAAATGTTATGAAAAAAATAAAAATTGAGCAATGAGTCGAAAGATAAAATTAACAAATTGGATTTTCTGAATTTATTGAATCTCTCCCTTCATTGGACATTATAAATAAAATATTATAGGCATACGAAAAATTTTCAAAAAAAGTTATTGTGTACAGCCCAGACAGATGTTGTCACATCAAATATGTCATGTGGGGTATCAAATAAAAGGTCTTCATCAGATTTATCGAAATACCACATTCACAGGTTTAAGAAACGAGTAGGGTTCCGTATAACCTATATATTCAATGACCAATATTATATTTTGGAAATTTTAAAGAATACTGGTTTGCTGTAAGGTTTCTATACTAGACAGTATTACAGACAATTGAATTTACAACAAATTCACCGAATATTTCATTTATCACAGACGAACGGTTCAAAAGTTACAAAATATGTAACAAAAGTAGACCATTGGGTTGCAGGAACTTAAATAGTACAACAATTAAAGATGTTGTGACGTCACATGCGGCATGTGGGGTATCAAATGAAAGGTCTCGACGAGCACTATACGAATATTGTATAAATAATCAATAGAAAATTAATATATTAATTAATGGGTTATTTATAAATACACCGATTTGCTGTAGGGCCTTACAATGTTAGACAATATTATAGACAGTACAATTTAGAACAAATTTGTCGAATATTCCATTTATCTCAGACGAACGGTTCTAAAGTTACGAGAGATGTAAGAAAAGTAGACCAATGGGTTGCCAAACTATAAATAGTACAGCGGGTAAAGATATCGTAGCGTCAAATATGTCATGTGGGGTATCAAATGAAAGGTCTCGAAGAACACTATACGAATATCGTATAAATAATCAATAGACAATTAATATATTAATTTTAGTGTAATTTATAAGTACACCGAATTGCTGAAGGGTCTTACAATGTTAGACAATATTATAGACAGTACAATTTAGAACAAATTTGTCGAATATTCCATTTATCTCAGACGAACGGTTCTAAAGTTACGAGAGATGTAAGAAAAGTAGACCAATGGGTTGCCAAACTATAAATAGTACAGCGGGTAAAGATATCGTAGCGTCAAATATGTCATGTGGGGTATCAAATGAAAGGTCTCGAAGAACACTATACGAATATCGTATAAATAATCATAGACAATTAATATATTAATTTTAGTGTAATTTATAAGTACACCGAATTGCTGAAGGGTCTTACAATGTTAGACAATATTATAGACAGTACAATTTAGAACAAATTTGTCGAATATTTCATTTATCTCAGAAGAACGGTTCAAAAGTTACAAGAGATGTAACGAAAGTAGACCAATGGGTTGCCAAACTATAAATAGTACAGCGGGTAAAGATGTTGTGACGTCAAATATGGCATGTGGGGTATCAAATGAAGGTCTCGACGAGCACTACACAAATATAATATAAATTTATCCCTCACCTGTGTCGATCTCGACATAACATCCTGAAACTGTCCTCCCAAGAATTCGTGCACCATTCGAGCGGTTATGATGTCATCGACTTTATCCAAAGTGGCCACGATGTGTCTTGAATTCTTGAATTTGGAACAGGGCCTCGCCGATATTAGTATATGATCGGAACTTCTGTCGTAGGACAGACTGACAAAGGAGCCTTCGAAGGGCAACTTGAAGGTCTTTTTGGATGTATCAATTGTGTCCACGACCCAACAGGATTTCAGAGTGCACACTAAGACTCCTCCGTAGGGCAAAGGGGCACCTGGTGAGGCTGGAACTGCACGTATGGAAATGGCTGGTGACATGTCATCGAGCTGAAAAGGTAAAAGAAATAGAAATATAAATATAGAAGTTTGTTGTTTGAATAGATTTAATGAAATGTAAACCAAAGGGTTGCTTAATGAAAATTGTGCAGTGGGTTAAAAAGTTTTACTTCAAATATAGGCATGTGGGGTATCTAATGAAAGGTCTCAAAGAGCACTATCGAAATATCTTAATGATATTCTAAACATTTCAACAGGGTTCTGCATAATGTATTTTTAACGTATTTTTTTGCTATTTTAAAGTATACCAAGTTTCTTCAAAGGTTCTATACACGACTATGTTATAAATCTCTTAATTTAGAACAAATTTGCCGAACATTCTATTTATTTTGGACAAACGGTTCAAAAGTTACAAAAGATTTAATAAAACATAAATCAATGGGTTGCTGAATGTAAATTGTATAGTGGGTTAAAAAGTTTTACTTCAAATATAGGCATGTGGGGTTTCAAATGAAAGGTCTCAAAGAGCACTATTGAAATATCGTAGTTACAAATAAATAGGAATAAGGACTCTACTGGCGAGCAAATGATTTTTTCATTCAAATAAAGAAAAATGAACTCTACTGACAATCAAAATAAAACAATTACAATCGTCGATCATTTACGAAAAGGGACTCTACTGACGAACAAATTGCAAATAAAAAACAAAAGAGACTCCATTGACGAGCAAATTTAAAATAAAAGACAAAGGGGACTCTACCGACGAGCAAACTAGAAATAAAAGACAAAGGGGACTCTACCGACGAGCAAACTAGAAATAAAAGACAAAGGGGACTCTACCGACGAGCAAACTAGAAATAAAAGACAAAGGGGACTCTATCGACGAGCAAACTAGAAATAAAAGACAAAGGGGACTCTACTGACGAGCAAATTAGAAATGAAACACAAAAGGGACTCCGCTGATGAGCAAACTGCAAATAAGATACAAAAGGGACTTTTGTATCTTACGAGCATACTGGAAATAAAACACAAAAAGGACTCTACTGACGAGCAAACTGCAAATAAAAGACAAAAGGGACTCTACTGACGAACTAACTGAAATAAGAGACAAAAAGGACTCTACTCACGAGCAATTTACAAAAAGGCAAAAGGGAATCTACTGACGAGCAAATTGCAAATAAAACACAAAAGGGACTCTACTGACGATCAAACTGAAAATAAAAAATAAAAAGAAACATTACTGACGAGCAAACTAGCAATGAAAGACACAAGGGACTTACTGACGAGCAAACTAAAATATATAAAAATAGACGAGCAAACTAAAAATAAGAAGGAATAGGAATGATAAAAATATAACCAATAATTTACTGCACGACAACTTGCTGTAAGGTTTTTATACTCGATAAGGTTATAAACATATTAATTAAGAACAAATTTACTGAATATTTCATTTATTTTGGACCGATGGTTTACAAGTTACAAAAAATATTATAAAAAGTTGACCAATGGGTTGCGGTATCAAATGAAAGGTCGCGAAAAGCACTATACAAAAATCGTACTTACAGTCTTATAGGGTTCGTACCATTCATTAAATTCTAAAGCCAATTTTTTGTTATTTTAAAATATACCAACTTCCTGTAATCTTAATTTAGAACAAATTTACCAAATATTTCATTTATTTTCTGCGAACGGTTTAAAACTTACAAAAGATATAATTAAAAGTAGACCATTGGGTTGCTAAACTATAAACAGTACAGTAATTAAAGATTTTACATTCAATATGTCATGTGGGGTATCAAATGAAAGGTCTCGACGAGCACTATCCAAAAATCATACTTAGAGACCTTAGAAACATTTTTAGGGTTTCGTACCATGCACACTATTTTTGCTTTATTGAATAGAAAATTTTATTTATTTTACCTTGAACGTATCCAGACACTCCTGTGCATTATTTAAATCAAATTTCAAAAATGTTCCCGACTGTCCTCCCACATAAAATAAATTTGGGTTGCATCCATCCCAACAGCAAGACCACAATTGAATTTCTGTATGACGACTAGGATGATAGTTTTTTTGGAACGTCATAAATCTACAAAAAAAAATATAAATATAATAGCTATTTTAACAATGTGGCCTTTTGTTAACTTCCCGTAGGGTAAGTTATAGTAATCGTCCAAAAATCGAAATCAAAAATTTTTACATTTCTCGACGTTTTGAAGGTTTTTGAACATTTTGGCATACTTCAGAAAAAATGGATGTGTGTGTGTGTGTTGTGTGTGTGTGTGTGTGTGTTTTGTATGTCCGCTTTTTTTCGTCCACGTTTTCGGGCGCACGGATCAACCGATTTGAATGGTTTAAAAAACATTCGATTCCTATTGATAGAGAGATGTGCTGATTAGTTTTTGGCAAAGGCAGGTCCAGCCGTTACGGAGATATGGAGCAAAGAGTGCAGAAAATAGAAAGCGAGTTTTTGAGAGAACGGATCGTCCGATTTGAATGATTCAAAAAACATTTTACTTGCAATGACGAAATAAATAAGTGACGCAATTTTTGTAAAGGCAGGTCTAGTGGTTTCGGAGATACAGAGGAAAAGGTGAAAAAAATGATATTTGCCGGTCAAAAATAAAATAGAAATCGAGTTTTTGAGGATCGGAGCGCCCGATTTGAATGATTCAAAAAACATTTTACTTGCAATCAGGAAATGAATAAATGACGCAATTTTTGTAAAGGCAGGTCCAGCGGTTTCGGAGATACATAGGAAAAAGTGAAAAAGAAATGATATTTGCCGGTTAAAATAAAATATAAATCGAGTTTTTGAGAGAACAGATCATCCGATTTGAATGATTCAAAAATTATTTTGCTTGTAATGACGAAATGAATAATTGACGCAATTTTTGTAAAGGCAGGTCTAGTGGTTTCGGAGATACAGAGGAAAAAGTAAAAAAGAAATGATATTTGCCGGTCAAAAATAAAATAGAAATCGAGTTTTTGAGGGATCGGAGCGCCCGATTTGAATGATTCAAAAAACATTTTACTTGTGATGACGAAATGAATAATTGACGCAATTTTTGTAAAGGCAGGTCTGGTGGTTTCGGAGATACAGAGGAAATAGTAAAAAAGAAATGATATTCGGCGGTGGAAAATGATCATTGGACATATTAGTCATAATATTTCATAAATATTATCACAGATGGCGCCAGAATTTATTTAATGACAAATGTTAATAATGAATATATGAAACTTTTAATTTAATTGCGGACTATCTAAATGTTAATATTAAGAGCTAAAACTTTCAGAGAATTTTCTTTTATTAATTGGAAGCGTTTGAGCCCTTGGGAGCAAAGAAATTTGTAAATGTCCAATATATATATATATATATATATAATATATATTATATATATATATATACATATTTTATTTATCTACCTTTGCAGTTTTATCCAAAGACACAGTCAGCAGCAAATCAACGTTCAATGTACTAAATTCAATATGCCGAATCTGTTTCTGGCTCAAATAAACAAATTGAAGCGCCTTACACAACTTCATATCGATCAACTTGACTCCGAAACCAACAAAAATATTCCCCTGAGACTTCTGTGACACCGCCAGCAATTGATAATGCGGATTGTATGAAAAAACTCTACACCCGGCATCGCTGGACATCTCTATAGTCTTATCTTTATACAAATCGATTAATTGAGTTTTACAATGACTAGAGGAAGTACTACTCGGGGTAATGGAGCATTGTTTAAGTTTTTCATTTTCTTCTGAGAGTAATTGTAGTTTAATAATGCAGGATTGATACTGTTGTTCCAACTTGCATTTCTCGGCTATGACTTTATCTAGTTTATCTTTCATGAATTCTAACTCGCTAGTGTCTTGTACTTTGAGAGTCTTTGCGTAAATAAAACGCAGATCACGCATGTGTGCTTTCATTTTGCAAGTCGGACAGTTTTTAGTCTCGCCTTTGAGCCAACGTTTGATACAACAGTGTCCGAATAAGTGCCCACATTTTAAAGATGTCAAGCGATGGTCACCTGAATTAGTCCAATAGTCGAAACATATTGGACATAAAGTACCCTCTTCATCATCGTCGTCGTCTGAGACACTTAGGGCTCGTTTTTTGTTACACTTGACATCCACCACTTTAATATCTTCAGTCTTAACTACTTCTATATCATTACTATTACTACTATTTTCTTCCTGTACAATATGGCCTGTGATTATGCTAGAATCGTGCACACTTCTAATTCTGCTACTTCTTCTTGTTTCAAGAATTGGTGATGAAGGATTTATTTGATTTATTTCCAGAGAATTTGAATCCTCACCAGGATCGTCCAGGTCCATGGTTATTTATCATTTATCACAAATTATAAAATATTAAAACATTGTTTAAAGTCTTGTTTTATCTTAATTTGTTTGCTAGTACCCGACATTTTTGTTGAGGTTATGTTTTGGTAGTTGACACTGGTTGACAGGTGGTTAACGCGCGCGTTTTGGTAAACAATACGTTTTTAGCGGCAAATTCGAAAATATTAAACGTAATAGTAATTTTATTAATAGTAGAAGTAACTTTATTAAAATGTTGTATATTTGCTTTTCAGTTTAAACTTTTATGTGTTTTTAATATATGGCAGCCATTTTGTAAGTCGAAGTGGGTAAAATTTTGCACAATGTTAATTTTGTAAAATTTTGTTTTAAAAAATACATTTAAAGTGTTAACTTACCATATATATTACGTTGTGCATTGTTTAAATATTAATTTGTTGCAAATCGAACAGTATCGAATTTAATATAGCGGTTGTGTTGACAGTTGACACTAGTTGACAGTTGGTTAACGCGTAGATTTGATTTAGCGGTAAATTCAAAATTTATTAAACGTAATAGTAATTGTTAAATAGTAGAAGTATACTTATTAAAATGTTAAATATTTGCTTTTCAGTTCAAACTTTTATGTTTGAACTGACTGTATTTACATGATTTAATATTTGGCAGCCATTTTGTAATTCTAAGTGGGTAAAATTTTGCACAATGTTAATTTTGTAGGATTTTGTTTTAAAAAATACATTTAAAGTGTAAACTTACCATATATTTAACGTTGTGCATTGTTTAAAACATTGTTTATATATTAATTTGTTGCAATTCGAACAGTATCGAGTTAATGAATATTGCGGTTGTGTTGCGTAGATTTGATTTAGAGGTAAATTTAAAAGTTATTAAACGTAATAGTAATTTTATTAAATAGTAGAAATAATCTTAATGAAATGTTAAATATTTGCTTTTCAGTTCAAACTCTTATGTTTGAACTGACTGTATTACGTGATTTAATATTTGGCAGCCATTTTGTAAGTCAAAGTGGGTAAAATTTGGCACAATGTTAATTTTGTTTTAAAAAATACAAATAAAGTGTTAACTTACCATATATTTAACGTTGTGCATTGTTTAAAACATTGTTTATATATTAATTTGTAATTATTATTAATTATAATGTAATTTGTAATTAATTTGTATCGAGTTTAATATGGCGGTTGTGTTGACAGTTGACACTAGTTGACAGTTGGTTAACGCGTAGATTTGAATTAGCAGTAAATTTAAAAATTATTAACAATTATTAATAATTTTATATATATATTATTATATATCGGTATGTAACAATTTGTAACTTTTGCAACAGAATTATATTTAAGAAATTGTTTATTAACTTCCCGTAGGGTAAGTTATAGTAATCGTCCAAAAATCGAAATCAAAAATTTTTACATTTCTCGACGTTTTGAAGGTTTCTGAACATTTTGGCATACTTCAGAAAAAATGGATGTGTGTGTGTGTGTGTGTGTGTGTGTGTGTTTTGTATGTCCGCTTTTTTTCGTCCACGTTTTCGGGCGCACGGATCAACCGATTTGAATGGTTTAAAAAACATTCGATTCTTATTGATAGGGAGATGTGCTGGTTAGTTTTTGGCAAAGGTAGGCCCAGAGGTTTCGGAGATACAGAGCTAAATTTAAAAAAAATGGCTGTTTTTGAGAGAACTAAGCGTCCGATTTAAATGATTCAAAGAACATTCTGCTTTTTTCAACAAAATAATTGATTTTGGAAAAAAAAATTTTTTGTTTCTAATTTTTTTTCAAAAAAATTTTTTTGTAATTTTGGATTAAAAATTCAAAAAATCACCCAAGCTAAGCACAGTCTAAGCGCCACTCTGGTACAAATGTTTACCCAAGTGCGTTTAGACTGTTTGTGTACTGGAGCACTTTTCCAATTTTGTGAAAATTATTGAAAAATGTGAAAATGCCGCCAAGCTGAGCACAGTATAAGTGAAAATGTCGCACAGAATTATTTGCAAATGCGTTCAGACTGTGACTATGCGGGAGCACTTTTTCAATTTTGTGGAAATTTGGCACTATTTTTTTTTTAAATTTGATTCGAAATGAAATGACGATTGTTAATGTTCTGGAGATGATAAATTGATTTATTTATAATTAACTTTCCGTAGGGTAAGTTATAGTAATCGCACAAAAATCGAAAATGAAAATTTTTATATATCTTTACGTTTCAAAGGTTTCTGAATATATTGGCATACCTTAGAGAAAATTGATGTATGTGTGTATGTGTGTGTGTGTGCGTGCATTTGTGTGTTCAGATACAAATTTTCGTCGACGATTTCGGGAACCGGGATGAAGCAATTTGATTAATTCAAAAAACATTCGATTCGTATTGATAAGGAGACGTGCTGATTAGTTTTTGTCAAAGGCAGGTCCGTTCCGAAGATATGGGGCAAAAAGGGCCAAAAACGGTAACTCAGTTTTTAAGAGAACGGAGCGTCCGATTTGTATAATTCAAAAACATTTTACTTGCATTATCAAGATGAAGATTTGATCAAATTTTCATGAAAATAGGTCTAGCGGTTTCGGAGATCTAGTAAAAAAAGTAAAAAAAAAATAACATTTGGCGGTCAACAATAATCATTAGACATTAGACATATGCACATCAAATTATCAGATATTTAAAGAGATTTTAACAATAAGTATACATTTTGTTAACATTCCTATGGGTTCCGTACCAATGCTTATGCGTTAGACAGCGACGCGGCGCTTACGCGCTTCGATATTTAGTCTCTATGCATTAAAGCAGTACGATTGCTTTGAAAAAAAGTTCAGAATTTCCAAAATATTTCAAAATAAATTTTTCAACAAAAAGTAAGTTTTTGTCAAAAATTTATATAGTTCCTCAAAAATCTATTTTTTTCAGAGTAATTTTTTTTCAAAAATGTTAATCTTCTCAAAAAAAAAAAAAAAATTTGGTACGGGAAGTTCCAGCAATTTGCCTTAAGGCACGATGCCATGCGCCCCACTAGTTTAAATTTGAATAACAAACCAAGTTGAAACAAAATTACTGCACGTAAGGCTTGTGAAAATACTTTGAGTGTGAAGTTCGCGCGTTCGCAACAAACGTTGAGATTTAAAATTCAAATTTCAAATATTTTCAAAAACAATTGTTTAATACGGGTGTGTATTAATATATATCATTAGAAAGATAAAAAAAATATTTATAAACATGTTTTTTAAAAATTTGTTTAAATTTTAAAAGTGAACATTTATAAAGAGTTGATTTTTTATTTGGTTACATTTGTTTGTATTTACTTTTATATTGTTTAAATTTGTTCTAATACATATATTTTATTATATATCATTAGAAAGCTAATAAAATTATCTACAAATCTGTATATAACAATTTGTAACTTTTGGAACAAATTATATTAAAAAATTGTTTATATCCTGCGTTTAAAACAATTGCTATGCATATATTTTTGTAAACTAATATGGTTATATTTTTTTAATATTTGTATGGTTTTCTTGAATAATTAGCAAGCTAATAAAATTATCTACAAATCTGTATATTAAGTTTTACAACTTTTTAAACAAAATTATGTAAAACAAATTTGTAAAGTTCAATATTTAGTATCTAGTTATTACTATTGGTGGATTTCATTGGTTACATTTTTTTATATTTGATACTATTCTGTAAATTTAATAAGTAATAAATCTTTATACGTATATATTATTATATATCATTAAAAACTAGATAAAATTATCTATAAATGTGTATATAACTATTTGTATATGTAGGAACAAAATTATATAAAAATAATTTGTTTAACATTGAAATTAAAATCTTGTTAACGTCCTCACATTCTTGTAGCTGCAGCACTTTGTTTTATATTTTGTATTTATTTTGTTTAAATTTAATTAAATATATTAACATTATTATATATCATTAGAAAGCTTATAAAATTATCTATAATTATATATATAACAATTTATAACTTTTAGAAAAAAATTGTCTAGAAATAAATGGTTGAAGTTTGAATCTGTAAAAGGTAAAACTTGCAAACTGAGACTGGTCCATTCTCTTTATATCTAGCTAATTTTATCTTATAATATATATATATATATATATATATATATATATATATATATATATAATGATGTATATAAATAAACTAGTGGGCCGCATGGCATCGTGCCTTAAGGCAAATTGCTGGAACTTCCCGTACCAAAAATTATTTTTTTTGAAAAGATTAACATTTTTGAAAAAAATTTACTCTGAAAAAAATAGATTTTTGAGGACTATATAAATTTTAGACAAAAACTTACTTTTTGTTGAAAATTTATTTTGAAATATTTTGGAAATTCTGAACTTTTTTTCAAAGCAATCGTACTGCTTTAATAGAGAGACTAAATATCGAAGCGCGTAAGCGCCGCGTCGCTGTCTAACGCATAAGCATTGGTACGGAACCCATAGGAATGTAAACAAAATGTATACTTATTGTTAAAATCTCTTTAAAATATCTGATAATTTGATGTGCATATGTCTAATGTCTAATGATTATTGTTGACCGCCAAATGTTATTTTTTTTTACTTTTTTTACTAGATCTCCGAAACCGCTAGACCTAATTCATAAAAATTTCATCAAATCTTCATCTTGATAATGCAAGTAAAATGTTTTTGAATTATTCAAATTGCTTCATCCCGATTCCCGAAATCGTCGACGAAATTTGTATCTGAACACACACAAATGCACGCACACACACACATACACACACATACATCAATTTTCTCTAAGGTATGCCAATATATTCAGAAACCTTTGAAACGTAAAGATATATAAAAATTTTCATTTTCGATTTTTGTGCGATTACTATAACTTACCCTACGGAAAGTTAATTATAAATAAATCAATTTATCACCTCCAGAACATTAACAATCGTCATTTCATTTCGAATCAAATTCAAAAAAAAAAAAATAGTTGCCAAATTTCCACAAAATTGAAAAAGTGCTCCCGCATAGTC